GCTTGTAACATTTCGAAGATCATACGCATGTTGATCCCGTCTTCTCCAACATTTTGGGTATTTCGAACTGCAAGTCGAGTTCCACCAAGGATGCTGTTTTCGGGGTCGGAATGTTGGTTCGCCTCGATGGCCACATGTGAATTGACGTCGATTGGATCTGCGGCCCGAGTTCCAATGGGATCGACGAGTGGCCTTTCATCCCCGGTCGTCAGGTTGTTGTTCTCATCTTGAAGGCCAACTTCGTTGTCAATAAGTAGTGCCATTGATTGAGAGTTCGTTGCTTTTAACCTGAAATCAAATACACTTCCAATAGCAAGTGTAAAATGGTGTGTTTTGCAGAGATTTGTACCAAATAACCACTATTATCCTTAGCCCACGGTGGGCGCCAAACTGTTTACCCGAAAAATGAATAGTGTTGAATTGTTCCTAGTTCTAAGGATACATGGTATAACTTGATACAAATCGGAAAAATAGGTAAAAAATATATCGAATATTGACTGTAAAAAAGGAATGAAACACAAACCAAATTGTGTAGAGAATAATTTATAAATAAGCAAGATGAATCAATGTCCAAAGCCCAAAAAAGGATAATCTCTGCTATATTTCTATCTCAAATCAATAATCTTTGAGATGTGAGAATGTACTCAATGTTCAATGCCCCTCCTTTACAGAAATGATAGCCACTCTTTATATAGTGGATGAATCTTACTTTGGATATAATTAAAAATACATAGTGGGGATCCCATGATAGATTAATTAATTAGCTTTTCCTTAATTTTCGCCGAGATTCTCTCCCCTGGTGCGGCTACAACGACTCTTTATCTCTTAGCTCGATCTTGGCCGGTTTTGGTATTGGTCGATCTTTGGATCCCGAGCTTGATATTGACTCGAGCTCGATATTGGTGTGAGCTCGGTATTGATTCGAGCTCGATATTGATTAGTCCCTGAATTTTGAGCTCGATAACTCTACTTTATATCTCATCTCGATATTATGATAACGATCCTCGGTCCATCATGTTCCAATATCGACTAAATACATGAAGGGCAAAACCAGTTTTGATCGTATACAGTGATATTTTACAGCTTGAGCAGTGGATCGAAAGTCGCCTGGGAAATTTATAGTTTCTTTTACCATATTATCAATCTTAAGGATAAAAGATGGAGTAGTAATTAAGCAATACTTGAAACTTGAAAGGGAGTTGTAAGTCCTTTTCAAAATCTAGAAGGGGTTTTATGCAAATACCGAACTGTTATCCTTTAGAGAAGGCATCAAGTGTTTCAATGAAAAAGATTTGGGTTAAAATTTTATAATAATGTGACTTATGTTCGACTACCTTCAAAGAGTGAAAATTATAAAGACAACCCCATATGCATGTAAATTGCATCAGTAATAATTTTATCCACATATTTCAATTTATTCAGAAAAGCATAATGTAACTATACAGTTTTTCCCATATAATGTAAGTTGTTTTTAAATTTTTTTTTTATTTATGTATGAATCTATTAGAGAAAAGGGAGATCCAATTGGTCAAGAGGCCATTCGATATGAATTTGCAATATTATACTGTGAACTCTAATATATGCAGATATAATTTTTAACGTTCTTCAAGTGAAAAATTAATAATTCAAGCGTTCGAGCTTTAAGTGGAGAATCACATTTGATAGTGAGCACGTTATTTTCAAAGTGAAACTTTCTAGCGCGAATAAATGCGGATTAATCAGTACACCCCAAGTGTACCAAGTTAAAAAAATATGTTCAAACCATTAATTTTGATCGTTAATTTTCATCGTTTAAACAGGATGTAAACTCGAATTTTACTTTTTACAGAAAGAAGGAAAAACTATAGTTTAGTCCAAGAACTTTCCAAACCATAAAACTTTTTCATTCACGGGTATGCCTTGGAGTCTTGGACTAAGGAAAAATAAAAGTTAGGAATGTTCCTACAACTAGATCTGTAGCTTATAACATAAGGTGATTATAATAAAAAATTAGAGACTTTTTAACTAAAGAACAAAGCTTTTTAAAAAAGAATTATTTAAGAAAACCATCAAAAGAGGCACCCCTAACATGCGTTCTCTGAAATTTTAGTGTCAATCTCTGATCTTTAGATTCTAATCAATGTAATGGTCAGTTAAAGAATTAATAATTTTATGTTGAACTTTTATGAGAAATTTTTTAAAAGTTAAAGGACTTTAATACACCTCTTTATAAAGAATGAAGTTTAAAATTCTTGTATCTTTTTCTCTTATTTTTATTATATCTGAACATGAACAATATACGAGGAGTTAAAAGATAAGAGATCAGTCACGAAACCAGAATTTTCACTAAGAGAAATCAAAATAAAAAAAAATTATACAAAGAAGTTAAAGAGATTTAATATATAGTATATATATATATAATTTCTTTTTACCTACCTATACATTATAATTTTCTGACAAAGAAGTGTCAATTATTACATCTTTTAAGTCGTCAAAAGTAGTTACAACTACCGATTTATTAAAATGATCATATTTAGTTATTAACTCTACTTCTTTTCCTTTTAATTTTTTCTATTAATTGGGGGATCAAGAAAGAGGAAAAAATAAGGGGATAGTAAGAATTGAATCCGCACCTATTGTGTGGGATACTTTCATCGGTATTACTTATTAAATCGATTTTATTTCGTACATGAAAATATTTCTGTTGTGTTTCAAATAAATAGTAAATACTAAAAGTTTGATATATTCCAGGAAAAACATGTCATTTTCCCCACTAAATATCTATAACTCAAATAATGGAATATGTTTACATATTAAGCAAGCACCACTAAAATTAAATAGTAACATCTTTTTAGTTTATAATTATTTTCATATAAGTTATAGAGGCAGATTTAACTTGTAAAATCTACGGCGTAAGTGAACCTAATAGCTTTGTCCAGATCATATATGAGTATTAAGAGATTTACTAAACATCTTTAAATATTTGGATGTAAATTTAATTATTTAGCTTGATATCGTTATAAAAACTCAAAAATATTAAATCATTAATCCGCTCCCGATAATTTGTACTTGTAAAAGTTACAAAGCTTGATAGCCACAGAAAATCCTTTTTAGGAAGATTTGAGCATGAGACGACAGACTTAGTTTTCAATTAGATATTGTTATTATTAGAAGATAAGCTCAATGGCCAAAATAATACACTTGGGCACAAAAATTTAGAGAAAGTATTAAACTCCTAGTTTTAATATGAAATCACAGATTAAAAGTGATTTGACCAATTTGACTTCTGAAAAAATAACTTATTATATACAACAAAAACTGAGGGTGCACTACATGTTACTCAATCCAAAAGGCAAAATGGAAAAAATATTGTTTAAATAGTTAGTTCATTTATTGGATCTCATTATATACCAAATCTAAAGCGACATAAATATAATACTGACAAGGTTCATATGCCTTTCTTGATGTTATAAACATTAGAAACGAGTAAAGAGTGACTTATGTAGTGACTAATTTCAAGTGGCAAAGAACTTGCTTCTAGGTTAGTAGTGTATTTTTTTTTTTTTTTACCTAAAATAAGTGAAATCATTTACCTAAAAACTAAAGCAGACTAACTTATTGTAAGTTGTAACATGTTAACATATGCACATGCAACCACAACATACAGGGTCAGATGTAGTGTTATAACGAAGGGTTTAATTGAAATCATAATTTTTGACGTGGAGTAAAAGTTTATATATAAAAATATGTTAAAATTGTAAAAATAGTAGATATGAATTCATAATTTTAAAAATATAATGGGTTCAATGTTAAAATCTTAAAAATTGAACTCATAGAGTTTAAATCCGGAATCCGCCTCTAACAACATACACACTCATTCACAAGAGGAATGAGAGACACATTTTGTTCTCTTGTTTGGATGATTGTTACATGTTGTGTTGTATCGTATTATTATTTTAAATATAATATTTGTGTTGATTGTTATTTATTGTATCGTATCGTTAAATCTATTGTTACATAACGGCGAAAAGTGCGGCCACTTTATGGAACGATCAATTTGGTGTGGTCGTGTCGTTACCTTATTTTTTCCTCTCATCTTGCCCTTCCTTATTGTTAAATAATCCTATTTTATCTTTTACCCTACTTTTTAATATAATAATTCTACATCGTACCTTAATTTTTTTTTTTTATAATATTGCAACTTTATTCTTAATATTGTTAGTGCATGATTTCATGAAACGACGATAAAAAATAAAAATATTATATACATCAAAATGATATAGTATATTACAATACAATACTATACGATATATTATGAAACGATACTTAACAACCATCCAAACAAGCCGGTAATTCCCAACTTGAAGACAAATTAAACAAAAGTTTATTTTCTGTCTACTGACAGTCAGTGGCGGAGCCAGGATTTCATTAAGGGGGGGGGGGGGGGGAGGGGGATAAAAATATAAAAAAATAAACTCACCAAGAAGTTAAAGAGTGTCAATACATAGTATATATACATATTATTTTTTAAAATACGTAGCTCCACGGTTAATTTTCCGACAAAGGGGACACCCCTTGAGTGCATGTGGCTCCGCCACCACTAACAATCTAACATGCTGTATAATTTTTTTAAATCTTCAAATTATATCAATGATCTCCAACAATAGATAACTTTATGTAATGCCTAATTTGATTTAAAAAAAATTATATATGACATACTTTAACAAAATACTGATAACATAGACATAAATTACAATGCCAATCTAAACACGGTAAAAGCTTATCATACTAATTTACATGGTTGAGTCATAAATTAAGGTGAGAATGCATATTAATTAAGAATATGTGTGAAAATATGTATCGTACTGTATTTATTAAATTGATGTAAATATGGAGTGCGGTAAAATAATTTTACCCTATAAATACTCACATGTGCACATGCAACTACAACATAAGCACACACTAAGAAGGGATAGGAGACATTCTTTTTCTTCCTTAAAAGACAAATTTCTTTCTTAATTAAATAGTTTATCCTTAATGTCTTCTTCAGAGATGATTTTCACAGTCCAAGATTGTCAAAGGGCAATAATGGCTGCACCATTCTTGACAAAAACATACCAATTAGTAGATGATCAAAGTAGTAATCACATTGTTTCATGGGGTGAAAATGACACTACTTTTGTTGTTTGGAAACCTCCTCAGTTTGCTAAGGATCTTCTTCCCAACTACTTTAAACACAACAATTTCTCCAGCTTCGTTAGGCAGCTCAATACTTATGTAAGTATTTTTTTTCTTTTTTGGGGTCTTTTGTGATCTCTTAAACTTTTTTGAACAGTAAGTCTATCGGAAATAATCTCTCTATTTAGGAGTAAAGTTTGTGTACACTTTACTATTCCTGACCCCACTTGTGGGATTACACTGGGTATGTTGTTGTTGTCGGGGCGGAGCTAGAAGCCCGACTACGGGTTTGGACGAACCCAGTAGCTTTTGCTCAAATTGTATATTTATGTTAAAAAATTCATTATAAATGGACAAATATTAAATTTAGAATCCAGTTGTTAGTATTTGACGTCGTTATTCCAAAATTTAGAACCCATAAAGCTGAAATCCTGGTTCCGCCTCTGATTGTTGTTGTTGTTGTTGTTGTTGTTGTTGTTGTTGTTGTTGTTGTCGTCGTCGTCGTCGTCGTCGTCGTCGTTGTTGTTATTGTTATTGTTTTGTGTTCTCTCAACCTTACCAAAAAATTAAATGGAGTTCTTTGTTTTTCCCCATCTTCTTTGACTTACTATATATTAAGTGTTGATTGAAGGAGATATATGAAACATTTGATGAGAGTGTGTAGATTAACAGTGAGAGTGAACTCAAATTTGGGAACTCAAAAAATAAAATAAATCTTCCCTATCCCCGTTAGGAGAGACGAATTTAGGATTCAAAATCAGTGTATCCAACATAAATGTGATCTCATAATATATACCTTTTGAAATTTTAGGTTTAGGTTAGAAACAGTCTCTCTGTCCTCCCACTCGCTAAGTTTGTTGTTGTTGTGGGTTTGTTGTTGCTATAGTTGAGCGCGTAGAATCCTCTCTAGATATGTCTACCTATTGAAAGGGTATTTATATGAGGAATATTTTCTTTTTTAATCTTCTTTGAATTTCTCATTGAACGACGAGCTTAGAGAGTTGGAGAAAATAATGGTTGATCATTTTAAATTAGACTAGAGAAGAATTTTATTTTTTGCTTTGTGTTACTTGACCTTAGAAAAAAATCTATCTTTTGCTTTGTGTTACTTGACTTTAGATGAGCACTGTTAATTTGTTCAAAGAATAGGTGAAACTTAGACCATATTATAAAAATGTAGCTAAGAATCCCAAATTAAAAAAAAAAAAAGTACAGCCAAAATCAACTCCGTTATCCAAGATTGGATATTTTGGTTTTCTAGTTTCCCATCTGGTGTCCGATACCTACATTGGGGTCCGACTAAATTCGAATTCGCGCTGGAAGTCCCATATTGGGGGGTAAAACGCTCCCTAACAAAGACGACTCTATACCCAGAGACTCGAACCCTAGACCTCTGGTTAAGGATAAAAGAGTACTTACCACTCTACCACAACTTTGTTGGTAAGGGTGTTCAAACTTAAAAAAAGTAAAAAATATTCTCCGATATAGGGTGTTCAATATATGTTATATACCTCTAAAACCTAAAATTTTACTTACATACGCAATATAATTTTTCGACCAAGGGTTGTCAATTGACTACCCTTGATAGTTTGTAGCTTTACCATTGCTAATAGTAGAAAGAGTTTACACTATAAGTATAATTATTATCGTTTTTTATTTGATTATCATCTAATTAATATTTATCACAACATTCTTTTAGAGTTACTTTATAATAATGTGATTATATATTTTTTTACGTCATTTAATGCATAAACTCGTTTCATGGATCATTTTCTTTGGTCTACAAATATCAAGGGGAAAAGAAACACCTTTTGGCTGGAGTAACTTTTTTAGTAGGCGTTTGGACATAAAAATTATTATAATTATTGAAAAAAGTAGTATTTGTAGGTAAGTTAAAAAATAGTATTTGAAATTTGAAATTATATTTGAATATGTATTTCACTTGAAAAAACGTTGCAGTTTGTGAGTGATGAAAAAAAATTAAAATTTTTGAAAAAGTGATTTTTGAAAAACTCATTTTCGATTTTTTTCAAAAACTTGCAAAATTTTACGGACAAACATATTTTTGAAAAAAAAAACGAAAAAAAAAAAAAATTTTATGGACAAATGCTTACTTAATAAGCCAACTTATGCCCCTAAAGATTATGGTGGAACTTATAGGTTCTCTTTATCTTTTATCAAAAGGTTTCGAATTAAGCCTTGAGAATATATATTTTTTATATGGAGCATTTTCTCCTTTAACGGTCCTTACACGGCCCGAACTCAAATTATTGGACTCCAAACCAGGTAAGGGACACTAGGTGAAAAATAAAAATAAAAACCCATAATTTTAGAAATGTACACTTTATATCTAAAACCCTTGCCTTATTATGGAGTATCAAATTTCTATTTTTCATTCCTTGTTTTTATTTTTCAGGGATTTAAGAAGATAGTTCCAGATAGATGGGAGTATGCAAATGAAAATTTCAAAAAAGGACAAAAACAATTACTTTGTGAGATCCAAAGAAGAAAGACTACACCTCAACAACAATTACACCATTTGAAACCCTACCATGAAAATATCACAAAAACCATATTCTATCAGCCAGAAACACAAAATAACCCTAGTACTGATGATATCCTTTTGTTAACACTCACACAAGACAATCAAAGGCTGAGGAAGAGAAACAATTTACTATTATCTGAACTCGCTCACATGAAGAATCTCTACAACGACATTATTTATTTCATTCAGAACCATGTCAAACCCGTCGATCAGAAGTCTCGTTTGCTTTCACTTAATGGAGGTATGAGTCTAAGAGTTAACGATCATCGCCGTGATCAACAAGTAAATATTGAAGATGAAGAGCCAAAGAGTAGTAGTGTAAAGTTGCTCGGAGTGAGTTTATGTGGGAAGAAGAGATTGCACCATCAAATGATTGATTAAGAAGTATTAGAATGTTGATTAGTGAATATTGTTTTATGGAACAATAGTGTAGATAGAACTTAGCTTATTAGATCAAATTAGTTGTCCAGTGCACGAAGTATTTCGCGTTCAGGCAGAATTCGAGGAAGGCCCGTACTCCAAAAGTGTGATATAGACAGTTTACGCTAATGCAAGTATTAATAGCTGCTTCCACATGTCGAACCCGTGACCTATATGTAACACGAAAATAATTTATCATTGCTCCAAGGCTCCACTTCACCAAATCTTTTCAACTATATGTTGATTTTCTTTAATTAACTTATTAGTTAGTTTCTTTACTTCCACATCAACTGCTTAATGCTCCTAAATCCTAATTATCTTCTCCCTTGCTTTATTCTTTTGTACTTCAAATTAAGTTCTGATACTGAATCTTCAATGTGCTAAGTTTGACTTCGGTCAATATTTTTAGAAAATGACCCCGTAATAGAATTTTGATGATTCTAACAGCTTCATATGGTGATTTTGGACTTAGGAGCATGATCGAAATTTTATTTGAAAGTTCGTAGTGAAATTAGGCTTGAAATGGCTAAAATAGGAATTTAAAGTTTGAAAGTTTGACCGGGGAGTTGACTTTTTGATACCGGAGTCGGAATCCAGTTCTGAAAATTTTCATAGCTCCGTTATATAATTTATGACTTGTGTGTAAAATTTGAGGTCAATCGGAGTTGATTTGATAAGTTCCGACATAGAATGTAGAAGTTAAAAACTTTTAGTTTCATTAAGCTTGAATTGGGGTATGATTCATGGTTTTAGCGTTGTTTGATGTGATTTAGAGGTTCGAATAAGTTCGTATGATGTTTTAGGACTTATTGGTATATTTGGTTGAGGTCCCGAGGGCCTCGGGTGAGTTTCGGATGATTAACGGATCAAAAGTTGGACCTAAAAAGTTGCTGCAATTTTCTCTTCTGCTGCATATTTTGGGCTATGATCGAGCTTCAGATCGAGCCTCAGATCGAGCCCCAGATATCGAGCCCACGATCGAGGCCTGAGTCGAAGCCAGGGACGAGGCTCAGTATCGAAGCCTCGATCGAAGGCAAGGCTCGAGGGCATGATTGAAGGTAAGGCTCGAGGGCTAGGATCGAGACCCATGCTCGATGCCCTGATCGAAGGCTCAAGCTCGATGCAATGCTTGAGGCTATGATCGAAGGCCCAACCTCGATACCCTGATCGAGGCCATGACCATGTCCTTGAGATCGAGCTCCTTGATCGAACTCCCTGAGACCGAGCTCCTTGATCGAACTCCCTGAGACCGAGCTCCCTGAGATCGAGCTCCCGAGATCGAGCTCCCATGATCGAGCTCCTTGATCGAACTGGGCAGAGCTGTAAGTTATAAAAACAGAGGACATTCGTCCCATATGCTATTTTTGGCGAACTTGAGCTTGAGCAGAGACGACTTTTGGCAGATTTTTAAGGGAAAAACATTGGGGTAAGTGATTCTAACTCGAATTTGATCTACATATACAAGTATATCATTGTTTTCACAATTTAATTAGTGTTTTGAGATTTGAAATTTGGAAAAGTTTAGAAATCTCATAGAAACAAAATTTTGAGATTTCAGTATCGATTCGGAGTCGGATTTGAGTGAAACTGGTATGGTTGGACTCGTAATTGAATGGATTGTCGGATTTCGTAACTTTCGTCGGATTCAGAGATGTGGGCCCCGCGGGTAAATTTTTAATTAATTTCGGGATTTTTATCAAAAATGTAGTATTTCCTTATAGAATTGATTCCTATAATATTTAGTGATTGTATCAAATTATTTTGGCTAGATTCGAGCTAGACGGAGTTGGATAATCGTGGAAAAGGCCTTATAGTGGATTAAATTGGAGCAAGACGAGGTAAGTCTCTTGTCTAATCTTGTGAGGGGGAAATTACCTCATAGGAGATTAAAAATTAAATAATTATTGCTAATTGTGGGGGCTACGTACGCACGAGGTGACGAGAGTCCGTGCGTAGCTACTATTAATGCTAAAGTCCGGGTAGTTTAGGACTCAAAGCATGCCTTACTTGTGTAAATTATATTCTTTAATTTATTTATATTAATTGATATCTATATGAATATATTGTGAATTGTTAGATAAAGATATTAAAGGATAGAAATCTCATAGGTTTTATTGTCTGTTTAAATAAATTAATTGTTAAAAGAAATTGTTCTTCTCCCAAATTCATCTCATAATTAATATACTCTCCTTCCGGAGGCACATAAGAAAATGTCCTCC